GTGGGAGCGCCGCGTAGTGTGGACGTCAGAAGGTCTTCAGTATTTCGTATAATAGATTGTGTACTGCGGGGGGGAAAAGATTTCCACGGGAGCTTTTTTTCAAAAGTCTGTGGAAAAAATAGCTCTCGTCGAAAATGTTACGGGAGCTATTTTGAGCCTCACGGAAGCGATTTCGGAGGTTTGAAGAGCGAATCGCTCATCGCTCCCGTGTATTTTTTACCCTGGTGTACTGTACCAGGCTCACCTCTTTCTGGATGCCTCTACTGTGACGCGTGCAACTGGTGCTGTAGTGACAGTGTTACTGTAAGCGGGGTGGCGGTACAAAAAGAAAGGACGTTCGCAGGGGAGAGGAGGTCCGTAAGGGGGAGGAGGTACAAAGAGGGAGAAGGTCCATAAGGGGAGGAGTTCTAGGTGGAGGAGGAGGTCCGTAACGGGGAGGAGTTCTAGGTAGGGAGGGGGTACGAAGAGGGAGGAGGTTCTAGGTGGGGGAGGAGGAACGAAAAAGAAGGAGGTTCGTAAGGGGGAGGAGGTAGAAAGAAGGAAGAGGTCCATAAGGGGGCGGAGGTCTGTAGGTGGAGGAGGAGGAACGAAAAGGAAGGAGGTTCGCAGGGGAGAGGAGGTCCTTAAGGGGGAGGAGGTCCTTAAGGGGGAGGAGGTACAAAGAGGGATGAGGTCCGTAAGGGGAAGGAGTTCTGTAGGTGGGGAAGGAGGAACGAAAAGGAAGGTTTGCAGGGGAGAGGGAGAGAGGGGAAGAGTTCTAGGTGGGGAGGAGGTACGAAGAGGGAGAAGGTTCGTAAGGGGGAGGAGGTCCGTAAGGGGGAGGAGTTCTAGGTGGGTAGGAGGTACGAAGAGGGCGGAGGTTCGTAAGGGGAGGAGGTCAGTAAGGGAGAGGGGGTCCGTAAGGGGGAAGAGTTCTATGTGGGGGAGGAGGTAAGAAGAGGGAGGAGGTTTGTACGGGGAAGGAGTTCTAGGTGGAAAGGAGGTACGAAGAGGGAGGATACGTTAGGTCGGACATCTCGCCGTCGCGGCGGTGGCGGCGTGTCGTGACGCGCGCGTCGTTGCCTCATTACAGACGGCTCCTGGAAGAAGGAGTCTTCCCTCCTCAAGGGGAAGAGGAAGCCTCAGTCGTGCGTACCCGTCACAGACCAGATGCTCATTAACGAGAGAAACTGGCTCAGAGAAAACAACTCCCAGTCGAAGGCTAGTATGCGTATCTCTTATACTCTGTGTCCACCAGTATCTGTTATAGGCTAGTGTGCTTATCTCTTATACTCGGTGTCCATCAGTATCTGTCATAGGCTAGTGCATATATATCTCTTATACTCTGTGTCCACCAGTATCTGTTATAGACTAGTGCAGCTATATCTTATACTCTGTCCACCAGTATCTGTTATAGGCTAGTGCTGCTATCTCTTATACTCTGTGTCCACCAGTATCTGTTATAGGCTAGTGCAGCTATCTCTTATACTCTGTGTCCACCAGTATCTGTTATAGGCTAGTGTGCTTATCTCTTATACTCTGTGTCCACCAGTATCTGTTATAGGCTTGTGAGCTTATCTCTTATGCTCCTGTTCTGTATCCATCACTATTGTCCATCAGAAGTGGGTCTGGGTATCTGCGGTTGCTCTGTGTCTACCGGAGTTATGCTGCGTTGACACTATCGATTTTTGTCAGCAAATCGCCGAGTTGGAGCAATAGAACGTGTTCTATTTCGCCAACTCGGCCCGACTCCGACTCCAATACAATCGAATTTCAGCCGATTGTGTTGGAATGCACTTGAAATCGGTACGACTTGGTGACAAAAATCGATAGTGTAAACGTAGCATTACGCGCGCAAACGAAATCCCAAATGAAACGTGTGGGAGAATATTTTTATGAACATGGAGTGCGATTATAATAAGTTGCCTCTATAATATATGGCTCTAGTCTATCGTCGACCCCACTCCTGTACGTTACGCGAACGCTGGCTTGTTTTCTGCCGCAGGCTGCGATGGAGTCGGCCGTTGCCGCGGGCAATGACGAGGACGAGGATGAGGGGGAGGCGATGGAGTGTGGATGCTGCTACTGCGAGGTTACGTTTGAGCGCATGGTGCAGTGCAGCCTCGGCCACCTGTTCTGCGAGGAGTGCCTGCGGCGATACGCGAAGGAGGCTGTCTACGGACAGGGCAAGGTATCGACAAAGTCGACCGTGGCGGCAACGACCCCCAACGTATTAGCCAGCGAGCCGTGCAGCCGTGATTTGCATGGTCAGTTTTGAAACTGCACGGCCAAAAAAATTAAAAAATTAAAAAAATTAAAAAATTAAAAAAAATTATGTGGGAGGCCCCGTACCCCTCCAATGAATGGTGGAGGACCCCCTCTCATACTCCCCCCCCCCCCGTGAACGCCTAGGGCCTACGGCGGTCTTGGCTGAGACAAAAAATTGCTCTCCCAAATATTTTTTCTGCACTCCCACAATACTTACTTATTCCTGGCTAATACCCTGCATGGCGGAGGTGCGATAGCGGTGATAACGGTGTGACCTCGCGATGAAAACCGACCTGCTCATTATCTCTCACTCGCTTAACGCGAAATTTACCCGACCAAGGAGGAGATTCCATTCCTCTCTGCCGGAGCAGTAATTTTGAGTTTGTAGTTTATGTTTTCGTCCGAATTTCGCTCGTGTTTTATGAAGAAGATGCCGTCGAAATCTTCCACCAACAGCCATCGCGACGCATCATCAACATCACGCGTCGAAGAAAGCCGGCCGCTGCGCCCTTACGTTGCCATGACGATGCGACGGTGTCGAAGCCGTGGGGTCGTTGCTCTCCCTTCCGCTCCCGAAATATTCCGCGCGCTCGAGAATAAGAACCCAATTCGGCAGTAGATTTTATATCCCTTCCCTGACGGCACTGTTTTTTCAAACAGCCATTTCCCCCAATGTTAACCCAAAAGATCCCGCTGAAATCTCGCCGAATCCTCGCGCGATTTCGTGAGAGCCGTTGCCGCGAGCGCGTGCTAACGTTACCGTGACGACGCCAACAGGTGGCGCTGCGGTGCATGGGCGACGGCTGCAGCGCCGGGTTCCCGCTCAGCCAGCTGCGCAAGGCGCTACCGCGGATGCTGATGGACAAGTACGAGGAGCGGCAGGTGGAGGAATCGATCAGCCTCGCGGGCCTCGCTGACCTAGTCAGGTATCCCGTCGCCGTGACAACGACCCGCGCGTCAACCCGTCGCCGTGACGACCAACGAGTCACGCCACGCCGGCAATCTTTGTCGTCGGTTACAAGCGACTGCTCCCCCGAAAATATAATAAACATATATATTTAGCATATAATTATACATGTATACATATATATTTAGCATATATAATAAGCATATATATTTAGCATATATAATAAGCGTTATAATATAAAATATAATAAGAATATAACGTGAAAAGTGCAAGCGGCGATGCGAGTGTATATTTTGTTAGTTAGAAGTGACTACCCCCGCCTGAAAAAAGCTTAAGAAAATTAGAAAATTTAAAAAGTTTAAAGTTAGATATTTAATGTTAAAAGTTAAGTTTAACAGTTAAAAAGGCTCACCGCAGTGGGAGTGTTTTGTGGTTGTTGTTAACTCACTATTGCTTTTATCGCTACATATTTTGTGTGTCAGTGTCGCTGCGTTCCAGGTTAGTAAACTACGTTTCAATGTAAGAGTGCTGTTAGGACCAGAGTGTCAGTAGAACCAGAGTTAGTAGAACGATTTTAAACTATGATAGTTACATAAGTGCATCATAGATAATAGCATGACCTATCATCTTACTCTTGGCGTAAGTATGTCTAACAACTAATCATGTTAATTATTAACGAGCAATCGTTTCTTATAGCTGGGTTTTGTTCTCTTATCTCCAGGTGTCCAAACTGTGACTTCGCTGCAATTCTGCCAGGCGATAGCAAGGTTTTCCTGTGCCAAACCGTCGACTGCATGATGGTAAACTATCTGATCTTTTAGTAAATCGATTGGTTTCGGTTAGTAGTCAGCAAAGCCTTTGGACCATTTCATGTTTTATTACTAGCTCAGGTTATCCACACGTAGCATGTAGAGTAGGGATAACTAACCGGAACCGTGAGTCATATTTCCCTGCGTTCTAGGTATTTGATTTTTTTCTATGCTTCCCTCGTCGTAATTAGTTAATAAGCGCTTAATTACGCATTAGCCAATCAACAGCATCGGTACACGTGATGTAATCACAGCAGCGGAATGAGCATCGAGACTTAAAGGCATAGTTTACTCTAGGTTCTAGGGTTATTTTCAGTTAATTTAGGTTAAAATTACTCTACATAAAAAGTTTCATGGTTCAATGACCATTAGAAATATTATAAAAAAACGTTTTAAAACTAACGACTACAGTTTGATTACAACGACGGTGGCGCCACTCAAAGCGCACGATCTGATAAGTGGCGCAAAACCACTTTCCAGCGAAGGGCTACAGACCGATGGTGTTTCTTATTTATTAATTTAAAGGCAAAAGGATTGTAATATCTTATAAACGACATATAGTTTCAGTTATATTATGGATAAATTTGTCCTAAAATGAACATCGTTCGGTTAAATAGCATTTAGGTATGAATATAATTGCACCTTTGTGATTAGCCCTCGGTCTGTAACGTGCAAAATAAGTCGGCAAATACGCAACTTTTTCAGGGTGGCAGCACGATCGCGGGTGTCATGGCGCTGTTCAAATTTCGTAGGGAGTGTCTATATTCAGGCCGGTACGGGAGATTACGATACGCATATATTTGCTAATATATTGACTAATC